TAGAATAGAATAGAATAGAATAGAATAGAATAGAATAGAATAGAATAACAGAGTTGGAAAGGACCTTGGAGATCTTCTAGTCCAACCCCCTGCTTAAGCAGGAAACCCTACACCACTTCAGACAAATGGTTATTTAATCTCTTCTTAAAAACTTTCAGTGTTAGAGAATTTACAACTTCTGGAGGCAAGTTGTTCCACTGATTAATTGTTCTAATGCTCTCTTAATTTGAGGGGGTCCTACAAAAATGAGAAAGTCAATCTATTTTCCAAAGCACCAAAACGCACAAGAAACGATGGATGGAAACTAGCCAAAGAGAGAAGCAACCTAGGAGTAAGGAGAAATATCCTAAGAGTGAGACCAATCAACCAATGGAATAGCTTGCATTCAGAAGTTGTGGATGCTCCATCATTAGAGGCTTTCAAAAAGAGTGAGGGAAGTACACCCCAAAAGGACAGTGCCAGGAACCACTAAAACAATGCAGAAAACTTAAAGCAGCCATTCCCATTTTTTTTAAAAAAAGTCAACCCCAAAGCAAACACAGCAGCTGAGAGGGAAATTAAGAGCAGCCACTCATGCTAATTGAAAGCCTAGGAATGCTACCAAAAACTATTACCCCTTCCAACTCTATTATTCTATGTTCTCTATGTTCCAAATTGGGTGCTTCACAGCAGAAGCAATACAGCTGGCTGGACCACACATGCGTTAAATTCACAGCCTGTATGATCAAGCTGCATCATTGTCCTCCTGTACCTTTTCCCCCCAGGAAGAAACATGAAGTAGCAAACACTGCAGCAGCTATAAAAGGTCAGGACTATCATCTGATCACAGAAGTGTTAATATTCTTTATAATGAAAATATTTGTAATCTTATCCTTCTTCTTGAAGGAAAGAAGTTAATACCATCCCCAGATGGGTGATTGATGGGTTTTCCTGCCCTAATCCTGTCAGTTTCTGTTGTTTATTGACTTGATCCAGTGTGTGTCAGCTGCATTCCAGCTGCAACTGTTAAGTGGTTCTTGGCTGTCTGCCCGGGAGCTATTAACTGAAGGGAGAGAGAGGGGGGGAAAAACCCCTCTCTTGTACTTTATTTTCAGCCTGTTCTCAGAACTGCATAAGCAATTAACTAATGGTTCAGGCGAACTGGTGAGAACCTGCTGAATCCCACCACTGCTATCATGTACCTGTGCCATTTCATTTTTCCTGCCTAAGTGCAGGACTTAGTTTTCTCACCACCAAGTTATTGGATAGGAATCAATGCTCAAGTCTGTCAAGATCCTTCTGAATCTTGACACCATCTTCCAAAGTGTTAGCAATCCCACCCCCAGCTTAGTGTCAACTGCAAATTTTATGAGTTATCCAATTGTCCCCAACTCCAGGTCATTTATGAAGATATTGAAGAGCGTTGGTCACAAGATAGAATCTTGAGATACCACATGCTGAATGTGGTTGATCAGTCAATTTCAAATTCATCTTGTAATGGTACTGTCTATGCTGCATAGTCTTGACTTACCAAGAAGTAGGGTGCGGTCTACTTTGTCAAATGAATTACTGAAATCTAAGTATACTATATCCTTAGCATGTTCTCATTCCACTAATTTAGTCACTTTATCAAAGAAGGCAGTAAGATTTGTTTGGCGTGGCCTACTTTTAGCAAACCTATTCTGGCTTGTAGTAATCACCTTGTTCATTTCTAGGTACTCACAAATCTGCTGCTTGACTATGTCTTCCTGGATTTTCCCAGGTATTGATATCAAGCTGATTGGTCTGTAATTTCCTGAATCCACTCCCCCCCCTTTTGAAGATTGAAACTGCATCAGCTCTTTTCCAGTCCTCTGATTGTTCCCTGGTGCTCCAGGAGTGCTGAAAGATTCTGTTCAGTAGTTCTGAGATCACATCTCCTTCAGAAACCTGGGGTGTAAACCATCTGATTCCAATTATTTGAATTTGTCCAAAGCAGTTCCAAAACTTCCTGCAAAGAGAGCGAGAGAAGCACTTACTCCGCCTAAATTCAGAAGCTGCTGAGGGTTACCTCAAATTTCAATTCTTTTGAATTATTCTATTCCAGCTTGAGGTCTAAAATTCATCAAAATATGATGATCTATTATATCTCTTCCCACTCTAGCTTTTCTTTTATGTTTCAATAACAAATTCCTATTTATATATTAATTTTTAATATTAATACATATTATTTAATTTTATATATTAAAATTTAAGCCATACTACTTACAGTATATTACCATTACAGAGCCTTTGTTATAATTTTGTTTGGTTTGGAGGGTTTTTTTCCCCAGTTATTTTTCAAATAACTCCCTTGTGGAGTACATTATTGATAATAACCTCTGCTCTAAATTTACAGGTTGGACAGCTCCAAATGTTCCCTGCTCTTAATAGAGACAGTTTTCAAGTATGAAATGCTGCCATAATTGCATCAGGCACATTTTCTAACTCCTCTGATTTCATCTTCCATAGGATTCCTGAACATACAATCCTGGCCTGAAAATATGACAGATTTTAGTGTGTTTTCAAATCTGGTAACTATTGGTGGAAGAGCATTATACAGGTAGGATATACATATATCTATATATGAATATATATTTCTATCTTTAATACTCTCATTTATTTAAAAAAAATGCTTAGGAATTATAATGTATTAAAATAGTGTTGACATTTTGATTTAAACTTTTGGTCTCATAACTGATCCTTTGGTACTAGGCTGCCAGAAACAGCAGCTTGGATTTTTCCTCAATTCTAACACAGGGAAGTACCTACACTTGAATGCATTTCTGTTCTTGGCTCCATCTATTCTATTTATACTCCTGTTTAGTATTTCTCATTGTTTGCCATTTTAATTACGTTAGTGACTACTTGTTTATGGATTTTATAATTGTAGTATTATGGTTCATTGCACAGTCAACCAGATGTTTCTACTGGATTTGGTATTTTTATCCATCTGTTGAGTCCTTCCCAAAAACCTGGGATAGAGGAATGCTCTTCTTTAATGATTGTCACAGGATATAAACTGTTCCAAGTAAAGTTGCCTTTTGCAATTAACCAATGGTAGCTTTGTCAATGCTGATGGTGTTCAAGTCCAGGTATTTTGAGTTTGCACCCAAGTCACCTATCAATACTACTTTGCTTTCATTTTCCACAGTTATTCTATTTCTATTTTCAGATATTTTGTTATCTTGTTCTTTATTTTCTATTCTGCTGTCTTCAGCTATTGCCACATCCACTATTATTATTATAGTTCATTGCACAGTCAGCCAGATGATGATAATGATTATATTATTGTTGTTGTTGTTATTGTTATTATTTTAATCTTCAATTTGATTCACAGTCTGAAACTGATAGAAACTTAGCATTATAAGTCCTAAGCAAGCATCTAAGAGTTGTTAAGGTAATGTCTGAGTATATAGGCAGTTTCAAGTAAGGTGGATTTTTTGCAAAGTCAGAATATTCAACTCTGATAAGTTCAAAATTTCCATGTATCTAGGCAACCCTTTGGGCATTGCTCCAAGAGGCTCCTAATACTATTGGTACAACCATTAATTTCTTCCTCCACAATCACTCAACTTCAATTTTCAGATATCGGTATTTTGTTATTTTGTCTTGTTGTTTGTCTTCAATTCATCCATCACTCAGTATTGCAATATCAATGAACCGGATTATTTTATTTTCCACAAAAAGTGATGTCAGGCAAGTTGTGTGCCAGATATCTGTTTGGATCCAAAAGTCCCACAACATTAGAAGAACTTTGTCAATTTGATGTTCCCAGTAATTTTTGTTGCATTGGAACCCAAACTTCTGGCAAAGCTTTCAATATATTTTGACAACTTGATCATGATGTCGTAGATAATCAGTTTGTGGAATTTTGCTTTAGCCACTGATAAGGTGAGCCACTGTTTCATCTTTCTCATTGCATAAGCGACATTTGTTGTTACTGACATGTTGAATTTTTGCTTTCATAGAACTGGTCTGCAAGGTTTGTTCTTGGGCAGCCAAAATGAAGCCTTCAATTTCCTTCTTCAGCATCCCTGATCTCAACCATCTCTATGTTAGCTTTGTATATACCTTTCCTTCAATATCCTTCAGATATTGACTGTGCATAGGCTTCTTTTTCCAGTTAGAAACTCAATGCTCAGTTGTTTCAATATTCTGCTTTCAATCTTGTTTTAAAGAGGTTTCCATTGTTCACCTCCTTCAGCAATGATTTCAAAACTTCCAAAACTCCTAAGTACTTGTACCCTTCTTCTGATGTCCATGCTTCATTATCAAGTTTGAATCCATCATTTTCAGCCATTTTTCCTGCCTTAACAGCAATTGTTGCACATTTATCAATGCCAAATTGCATCTCAGTGTCTCAATGTCTCTGCTCCTCAGTGCTTTTCAGCAGTGAGTTCAATTCAGTTTTTGTTTTTCCAAACAGTTTTAAATCTTCCTTGTAGAGCAAATGGCAAATTTCCATCCCTTTTTTAGCCAATTCATAGCCACAGTTCATTTTGTCCAAAATGCTTGTTAGTGGCACCATTGAAAGTACAAATAAAAGAGGTGATAATGAGTCACCTTGGAAGATTCCTCGCTTGAGTTTAACTTCACTTCTGTTCCTAATTAGATCCTTGTACAACCAGACCTCTAGTCAGGTCAGGTGTGGTTTGCAGGGAGAACTTTCAAATCCTATCCCGATTAAGAACGGAGTAAGGCAGGGTTGTGTTCTGGCTCCTCTTTTGTTTAATTTATTCTTATCTGACTTGGCCTTTCACATTGGATGTATTGAGTCCCACGCCCCAAAGCTGTCAACTACGAAGATGGTTCCCAAGCTGAAGTCCGTACTGTTCATATAAACTGCCAAATTCCAACGATCGCTTATTTATTATTGACCATGTTCTTTAGCTTCTGGGAATTGATACTGTCAATCTGATGATGTAACTGAAGGTGCTGGAAGCATGCAAATAAGGTGTGGTTCTGGAACCCAACAAACATCTTGTCTTTCAGCCAATACAATGAATCAGCAGGGCCTCGTAGATGCATAAATGTTACCAATGCATCATTTTGTTTGATCAAAATTTCCTCAATTTCAAATTGTCAGTCTCAATTTCAAAATAATGTTAGTGATTGCACAGATTGACAAAATTTTTGTAATTTTTGTATTGTACCACTGAACCGTCACTAAAGTAGTATATTCTTGTAATCCTTGTTTTAGTCATCAAAAACTCAATCAACTTCCGAATTAACACATGCGTGGAAACTGTATCATGTTGCATATGATCAGAAATTATGCAACAGTTGACAATTTGCAGCATGCCATCTTTATCGACATAATAAGTGATGAATGGATGCACTGTGCCTTGCGAATTCTTCCAGTGAAAGCCTTGAGCAGCATCTTGGATCACAAATGAGTAATTCTCCACAAAATCCATCAGTACAATCAGTTCGGTTTGTTTTAGGCCGGCTTTCAATGACTTCAAATATTCATTTTGCTGTTTTGAAACGAAGTGGTTGCCAGTCAGTTTCCACATTTTGCTAGCAAGTTTTTCAACGAAGCTGTCAACAGTGAGAACATTTGTTTCCAGCATTACATGGTCAGTATGAACCCATTGTTCGAATTCTATTGATTTTTCTGAATCCTAGTCTTTGAATATTTCATCCAAATGCGCTATCAGTGCCTCTTCACCAGGGCAGTTTTGGCATCGCTGCAACATACAATCTTTGGTGTTCAGATCGCAAACTGCCTTTCCCAAGAGCACTTGTAGTCCTCTTTAATGTTGGCACCTTGTAGCATAAGCTTAACATTTTGATGAATGGTGCAGATGCAGATGGAATGTGTGCCTGAGGCACAGACAGTGACACATCACTTTGGTCTGAGTTTACAGAATTTGGAGAAACCAATTTCAGCACATATTTGTTTAGATATGCCACATACAGTTCTTTCAGATTGCACAGTGGCAACTGCTTTTGTTTGTGAACCTTGATGCCATCAAACGGAATGGAAACACAATCCTTTTTGCTGGGGCACATCCTGCTAAATACATCATCCTCGTAGAAATCTCGAACTCTTTCGACGGTTTCCTTTGGCAGTGGTTTTTCAACTTTTGCATCTGGTAGTGCACAAATGCCTCTCCCTTTTTAATTTTTCTCGCTGTTTTAACCATATGTTTTGAAATGCCAAACGTTTTTGCTGTCACCAGTATCTACCAACTCTTTGGCAGCAAAGTCAATAATTGAACTTTCATCAATCTAATATTTTAATTTTAATTTTCATGTCTTCAATTACGTCAGCGTAATCCTTACGGGACTGGCATTCCTTAACAGCAGACTTGCTAGTTTGCCAAATATCTACAGCTGCTACTCCAGCGGCTAACATTATTTTGTTTGCTATCACTTTCTGCACATGTTCAATATTTCATTTCACATAGCCAGTTTTATCCCTACTGCTTAACTTCCAAATTTTCAATGGAGAAGCCCCTAAATTGCTCAAACTCCGATTAACAGTGTCTGAACCGTCCATATCATAATTATCTGACGACAAAGAGTCTGCCATGCTTTGGACCATGGAAATGTATTTGGCTTTACACTTGGAACAAATCTTTTGAACTGGCTTCACATTTGTTTTTGCCACTTTTGTTAAATCATTGGACATGGCTAGATCAACTTTCAACAGCCCATGTTTAGCTATGTGATTTTGTTTGTCAAATGGGTTGCAGTATGACTTTTGCTTCATGTCGTACTTTTTCAGATACATGGCTTTGTGATGCAAGCAGATTTGCTCATCAACTCAACCTCCGATCATTGAATAATGAGTATTTTTTCTTCAATAGAGAAACTGTCCACATAATGCAGCCCAACTTCGTTAGAATAAAATGAACCATGGTGGCAAGTTGACGACAATTTTTCTCCAACAACGCATTTGGGCAAAGTAGAATTGCTACTTGACTCGTCAACATCCATTTCACGTATTATGGAAATTTGCAATAATATAAAATGTATTACTGCAAAATCTGAAACACAGAAGTTATATAAGGTTCTAATATTATGACAGAAATATGACAACTACACCTGGACAGTTCAGAATCCTATAGCCAGAACATGCTTACGTGTAGCTTCAGTAAAGTACTTACAGCACATTTAACCTCTGTCATTACAGTAGAAGCACTGCTAGTAGACTAACAGATTCATATACCATGCAAGAAATGAATTACACACTTTAAACAACAGCATAAATGAAATGAGAACAGCACAATATAAAAGAATGCATGTTGACGTACATGATATTGCCATAGCAACATCCTCACTTTGTCCCCAATTTTTAGGGCTTTATATGTCAGTGATGAAAAACCAACCCTGCTTTTTTAGGGGGGTTGAAACATGCTCTTTCTAATGAGAATGATTTAACATAGTTTCCAGAAAGTCTTTTTTTGTAAAGGCAGGCTGAAAATACCCTATTTTTGGCGTTTTTACAAAAACCGTCACCTTTACACCCAATTTGTAAACTATTGGAAAGCAGTAGGAGAATGAAATTTTACATTCGAAAACATTGTGTTGCTAAAGTTATTACACACAAAGTTTTACATTATCATACCTTTCCTTCCAGAGATATAAAAGCCAAATTTTAACCTTTTTTCAAACCGCAATATTTTTGGCCAAATTTGCTCCAAATGTTCTAGATGGAGATTGCTCATGAGAATGTTTTTATTATTTTGCTTAATAGAGCACAAAAAGTTATACAAGATGGCCAAGTTTTGTTTCTCTCAACAAAATATTGCTGGCGATAGTGTCTCAAAGTTGCTGAAACCTCAGAGTCATACTGTAGAAGGCTGTGGTATGGGGTCAAACAAATGACTATATCTCCACAAGTATTGCATCGGCAAACATAACACTTCACCAATGTTCATTGGGGACATGTGTGCATGTTCACACAAAATTTCATCGAAATCCGTGATGGTTGTGCGGTGACCCCCAGACCACTTGACATGGAATGACCGAATGGGCAGACGTTTATATTTGATGGTGTTAGAGGCATCATTGCAAGATGTAAACTTTTCTAAGCAAAGCTGCCTTTTGCAATTGACTGATGATGATTTTGTCAAGGCCAATGGTCTTCAAGTAATGTTCCAGATGTTTTGGGATTGCACCCAAGGTGCCTATTATAATTATTTATTTTGAAATTATTTTAGAAATGGCAGCTTTGAGCAGTTGTATGCATTTTCCCTAAATAATTTTATTAAACATGGTGCTTCTAAAGACTGAAAGGGGGCTCCATTCCCCGTACCAATTTCTGTTGTCTCCCATAATTCCTGCTCCTTTTCAAAATGGCAGTTCGGGTCCAACTTCTCCTTATTCTTTCTCCATATACCTCTTTCTCAAATGAGCTTATCTTCTGGTAAAAAAGGGAGAATGAATCAGCAAAGGCTTTGTATCTTTACCGAAAAAGGAATTTTCAGCAAGCAGATTAGAATATTACCTGTATTGCTAATTCATCCTAATAACTACAAACCATGAACCCCGGTGTATTTTGAATCCATTTTATTTTGGCTAATGTTGAATTTGAATTTTTGAATTTAAGTAAGTAAATTTTATTTAAGTTGCTAATATTGATATCCATACAGAAGATCGCCAAAAGAATGCTATATAATATTTTGTCACAAAGTCCAATGTAAACTGATAGATTCTCCTTTAATTTTACAATTGTGTAAATCTAGGCCACTGCACTACTCTTGGATCAAAGTCCATTTGGGTCTTTAAATTATGTTAAAACTCAAACCCTGTCCTGGCTGATTTTTAGATGAGATGCTAAATGTCTACATTTTCCATAGTGAAAAATACAGTATTTCTTGTAACACATTCATTTTTATTTTTTATTTTCATCTTGGAGCACATCTTGGTATAGGCAACCACTCTCACAGAGAGATTTAACGATTATAAGGTTAGCTGTGGCAGGCTTCTTTATTTCACTATCTTGAGATACAGTGATAAAATGAAAAAGATCATTCCAAGTCAGAGCAGGAAAGAAAAAAAGCAAAAACACAAATGCAGTATCTGTTATACTGATAACATTGTTGAACACCAGAGAAACATTTCTAATGGCAGGAGGAGTTTACGGTCATTTTCAAATTTCTCTTCTACTGCAGTCATATGGAAAAGCAATACATTTGGGTCACCAATAGGTACCCTCTGCATTAATTAAATAATAGCACAGTAGTGGCTCTTTTTGGCTCTTTCTAGTGATTGTGGCAAATACTGCAGGCTTCCCTTCCTGTTCAGCTGTTTCATTCAGCATGATTCTCTACTTGGTTGTGTTCCAGCATATCCTAGTTCAGGGACAACTGTAATTTGAAAAAGCTGTAGCTTAATGCTTGCATTAATTAACCGGCTATATTTTTAGCATTTAAATAAATCAGTCATGCCTGATAATGATGATATCTATCTTTTTAGTTATGGTTCAGGAAAAGCATATTTGGGTTAGCGCAGATCTCTGATGGTTGGTTTTTATGAAGCTAATTTTAGTTCCTTGAGTATTTGTGGCTTTCTGTAGTGTTTCCTCCTAGTGTCATATGATTGACTGGTGTAAAAATGAAGAGAAGGGGCCTAAATTAAACTGCTTTTCCATTCGTTTAGCTTCAAATTCTTAAATTAACAGGATAGGTTTCTAACTCACATATGCACAACACATGGATTTGCTGTTTTCTTTTTCCAGTGGTCTTTCCTTGCTTATTCTCAAGCAGCAAGGAATTAGATCTCTCCAGTTCCAGTCCCTGAAGCACATCAGTGCTGGGAATGTCTACATAACTGACAACAGTAACTTATGCTACTATCATACTATCAACTGGACCAGCCTCTTCAGCTCACCTAATCAGAAAACTGTCATCCACAGAAATCAGAGGCCTGAGAACTGCAGTAAGTATTTTGCTCATGGTTAGTTGAATTAAATTTCTCTCTCTCTCTCTCTCTCTCTCTCTCTCTCTCTCTCTGTCTGTCTCTCTCTCTCTCTCTCTCTCTGTCTCTCTCTCTCTCTGTCTCTCTGTGTGTATATACATATATATATATATACATATATATATATATATATGGCATTCAGCTTTGTTTGGGTATTTATATATATATTTGTTTTCTTAAGTTTTTGTGGGTGCTTACATGTATGGCATTCAGCTTTGTTCGGGTATTTTCCCACGTCATTGTAGTTGTGCTTTTAAAGTTGTAGCAATGTTTCGGCAGAATCTCATCTGCCATCATCAGGCTTCTTCCACAAAAGCAAAATCACCAGCTTGATCCACAAAAACACACGGAGACATAATAGAGACCCAGAAGATGAACAGACCTATGGAACAGCTGTCCTGCCCTACATAAGAGGTACTACAGACAAAATTAGTAAGATACTATACAGACATCACATCAAGACTGCCTTCAAAACAGACAGAAAAATAGCAGCCATCCTTAGAAACCCCAAAGATAAAATTGACCTGGAAAACCAAGGCATATACAAAGTCCCCTGTGCATCATGCCCGGCCACATACATTGGACAGACCAATAGAAGAATAAGTACCCGCCTGGATGAACACAAAAATGCAGTCAAAAAGCTGGAACACACTTCCTCACTAGTCCAACACATGGAAGCCACAGGTCATAGCATCAACTTCAATGGCACCAAAACCCTAGCCACTATAGAAAACCCCAGCCACAGAATCATCAGAGAAGCCATAGAGATTGAAAAAAGACCAGAAAGCATGAATAGAAGAGATGATTCCACCAGACTGTCAATCATTTGGAAGCCTGCACTCACAAACAAAAAAATCTCCACACCACAAGCCAGGCAAACACCTGGGCACAAACAGATCCCCCCTGATACCTCCAGCTCAAACACACCCCAACCAGGCACCCAGATGAAACCTAGCTTCCTAACTAATGATAGCCGTCCATTTACCCGGAGCCAAGCTGCACTAAAGGCCTCCAATAAAGTAACACAATGTTGCCAGCCAATCAAGATACAAAAAGAGCCAAAAAACAGACAGAAGATATTAGAAACACCAATCAAGCAGAACACAGCAAACTCCAAGACCAATAAACACAGACCAAGACTCCAAACCAATCAGGATGAAGAAAAAACCATTCTGGCACAGCAATAGGCTGCCCCAAATTTAAATCTGAAACCACCATAAAAGTCTGACTCACAGATGAACACTATACAGAAGCCTGATGATGGCAGATGAGATTCTGCCGAAACGTTGCTACAACTTTAAAAGCACAACTACAATGACGTGGGAAAATACCTGAACCAAGCTGAATGCCATTCATACATACATACATACATACATACATACATACATACATACATACATATCGTTTAGAACTAAAAATGGTGATTAGCTACTTTGTGAAACAAGAAATAATCTAGAAAACTTGCACAAAAGTCTAACATTGTTATATTTGAGGATGTATTGGAAATGTCTTAATAAACCTACTTTTTTGAAAATATTCAGGATAGGACAGTGAAACCTGGTTTGCTGAAAAAATGTTTAATGCTTTTCGAGAACATTTTATAAGAACAGGAGTTCATATTTTGATCAGTCTTATTTAAGAGTTCTCCCATCCACTTTTAAAATAGATTTTACTTGAGTGCAGAGACAGGGATCTTCTTCTCTCCAAATTGTTACGGTGCATGTGAGGAAATTGTCGCATGTACCATCTGGCTCTGAAATCTCTGCTATCACTTTCACACAGTCACAAAGCCTGTTTTGTTGTGTTTTAATTGGGGGTGGGGATAAGTAAAGAAGGAGGCCTTTTGTATAATTCCCTGCACATTTCCCCTGTCCCTGAAAATATTAAGAATTTTTTCCCACTCCACTCCAAATATGCAGAAAGTTACTCCCCATTTTCAGTGACTTGCTCTTAATTTATTTTAGAAGCAATTGCTCAAAGTGTTTTACAATGCAAAGGAATACGTATAATAAAACCCATGAAGACCTAAAAGCAGAAATTAAAGAATACACACAAAAACAAAACTAGTCCTTCATAATAGAATCAGATCCTCATTTCTAAAACCTTTTTATCTGTTGGTGAAAGGCAAACAACAAGTAACATTGCTTAAGCTCCATGGGGCCATTTGCAGTGCCACCCTTTCCTGTCTTAAAATGTCAGAGGAACATAGCAACTGATCTCTCCAGAGATCCAGAGGCAAGTTCACAAAGAAAACAGACAGGTAGGGTTTTCAAGGTGATAATTGGGCCCTAAACTGTACTCTGAAATGAACTGGTAGCCAGTGCAATCAATTCTATAAATATCAGTGACAGATTGTGACAAGAAACCAAGAAGACAGCTCAGCCATAGTGGGCAATGCCAGCAATGCTGCTGCTTGCCATTCAAAGCTTAGGGTTGTTACACATTCTGTGCATAGATTGGACTGCACAAGAAAGCACTGAGTGATCCACCACAGATCGTCTGACACCAGCAATACATATGCAAAAGCCCAGTGGATCCTGCTAGGGCATCTTTAGCCAAGCAAGTGCCTCCATGTTCTAGATGTTAACACATGCTATAATTGTAGTCTTTGCCATGGAACATAAAGGTGAAACTCAACAAATTAGAATATCGTGCAAAAGTTCATTTATTTCAGTAATGCAACTTAAAAGGTGAACCTAATATATGAGATAGACTCATTACATGCAAAGCAAGATAGTTCAAGCCATGATTTGTCATAATTGAGATGATTATGGCTTACAGCTCATGAAAACCCCAAATCCACAATCTCAGAAAATTAGAATATTGTGAACAGGTTCAATATTCTAGGCTCAAAGTGTCCCTCTAATCAGCTAATTAAGCCATAACACCTGCAAAGGGTTCCTAAGCCTTTAAATGGTCTCTTAGTCTGGTTCAGTAGGAAGCACAATCATGGGAAAGACCGCTGACCTGACAGTTGTGCAGAAAACCATCATTGACACCCTCCATAAGGAGGGAAAGCCTCAAAAGGTAATTGCAAAAAAAGTTGGGTGTTCCCAAAGTGCTGTATCAAAGCACATTAATAGAAAGTTATGTGGAAGGGAAAAGTGTGGATGAAAAAGGTGCACAAGCAGCAGGGATGACCGCAGCCTGGAGACAATTGTCAGGAAAAGGCCATTCAAAAGTGTTGGGGATTTTCACAAGGAGTGGACTGAGGCTGGAGTCAGTGCATCAAGAGCCACCACACACAGATGGATCCTGGACATGGGCTTCAAAATGTCGTATTCCTCTTGTCAAGCCGCTCCTGAACAACAAACAACGTCAGAAGCGTTTTACCTGGGCTAAAGAAAAACAGAACTGGTCTGTTGCTCAGTGGTTCAAAGTCCTCTTTTCTGATGAGAGCAACTTTTGCATCTCATTTGGAAACCAAGGACCCAGAGTCTGGAGGAAGAATGGAGAGGCACACACTGCAAGATGCTTGAAGTCCAGTGTGAAGTTTCCACAGTCTGTGTTGATTTGGGGAGCCATGTCATCTGCTGGTGTTGGTCCACTGTGCTTCATTAACTCCAGGGTCAATGCAACCATCTACCAGGAGATTTTGGAGCACTTCATGCTTCCTTCCACAGACAAGCTTTATGGGGATGCTGACTTCAGTTTCCAGCAGGACTTGGCACCTGCCCACACTGCCAAAAGCACCAAACCCTGGTTCAATGACTGTGGGATTACTGTGCTTGATTGGCCAGCAAACTCGCCTGACCTGAACCCCATAGAGAATCTATGGGGCATTGCCAAGAGAAAGATGAGAGACATGAGACCGAACAATGCAGAAGAGCTGAAGGCCGCTATTGAAGCATCCTGGTCTTCCATACCACCTCAGCAGTGCCACAGGCTGATAGCTTACATGCCACGCCGCATTGAGGCAGTCATTGCTGCAAAAGGGGCCCAAACCAAGTACTGAGTATATATGCATGCTTATATTTTTCAGAGGTCCGATATTGTTCTATGTACAATCCTTGTTTTATTGATTGCATGTAATATTCTAATTTTCTGAGATGTGGATTTGGGGTTTTCATGAGTTATAAGCAATAATCATCTCAATTATGACCCATCACAGCTTGAACTATCTTGCTTTGCATGTAATGAGTCTATCTCATATATTAGTTTCACCTTTTAAGTTGCATTACTGAAATAAATGAACTTTTGCACAATATTCTAATTTTTCGAGTTTCACCTGTAAAAGAAGGGTTATTTATTTATTTATTTATGATCTACACTGGCTTCACAGATCCTTTTCTTAAATTAAAACCGCATAATGCTTCGCTAGAAATAGTTGTTCAAAGAGCACAGTATAAGAGTGAGTGCTTCAGAGATTTTCACCAGCTTTTTTTTTTGCCAGCACATAGATACAATATCCTTTTTAAAAAATGAACTGATCCTCTTCATTGTCCTTTGACCTACCCTTAGATTTACAATTTCATCTGATTTCTGTGCAGATTCTATGCCTATAAGATAATGGCATGGCAGTTTGGGAGTGAGGATGAGTTTGAAATTTTGAATTTTCATTTCAAGATGCAAGGGAGCACCTTTTTCTACACTAAGGGTTCTCATCTATGCCAGTTTTTTACTGACATATCAGTAGCATCTTTGAGAGTTTAGAGGTAAAAAAAAATAAGTTGATTTAAAGTCTATAGCTTCCCAACTTGTTGAAACCTTACTTGTTCATCCCATTTCTGCATGAATTTTTAAACCCTTTATTTAAAAGTCAGCATATTTTTGTATTGCTGGTTTTGGGGTACAGGTTTTTGGGTTCTGCTCTTCAATGTTATCTTCATACCAATTCTGTGGGGCAGATTAGGCAGGGACCTCTAGATATGGCTGTTCTGCCCTTCCCCTGCACTATATCACACTATTCCTTGTTAGGGGTAAGAGGCAGAGATTTGAACTCTAGTAAAGGCAGCAAAAAA